GACCTTGTCCTCAGGAGGAGAGAGGAACCCGCGCCGCTCGGGGCCACCCCGGCAGCGGCGCGGGTTCCTCTCTCCTCCTGAGGACAAGGTCAAGGATAAAGGGTCAATGTCAAGTTGTCTTGACGGTGGAAGGCGACCGTCCACGGCAGCACTCCCTGCTTCCCGCGTTTCTGGTGTCCTTGATTGATTTGAAAGTGCCATTTTGAAGGGGAACGGCGCCCGGGCACCAAGAGGACGCGAGGACTTCGCTTTTCCTTCCTAGAGCGAAGAAGTGAGGATGGCACAGGACGGGGATGTCACCGCCACTCTGCCTAACAGTATTGTGTGTCTTAAAGTGCTTTAATGGCTGGATTGCTTTAGGTTTCAGGGACCCTCGGAGGACTGAATTCTGCCAAGCGAACCCTCCGAGAGGTAAGCAGCAATGTCATGGCTCCCTGATAAGCACACGTAACCCATCGCTCGCAGGGGCGATCTGCACGTCTGTTTTCTGCGTGGACACCACGGGAAAGTGATTTTGAATGTAAACAGGCGTGAGGCAGCTCCGGGAGGTGCTTTAAGGAGGGAACCTGCGGTAGTTCCAGCTCCTCCAGCACTGCCCTGCGGGGGGAAGCTGCCGCTGGCAGCCGGGCAGGGGCCGGAGATGGCCGGGGCCTGAATCGGGGCCGCCGCCGTCAAACAGAGCCGGTTCCACAGCAGCGAATCTGCAGCTGAACCCAGCCAGACTTCTGTATCTGGCTTTCCTCTCAGCTTCGGTTGCTTTTTGCTTTGCAATTGCGTTTTCCTGTACTGATTCCCCCATCCACGCTTGTTTGTGAATGTTACAAAGGTGACAAGCGTGAGCTGCGTACACACGAAGAAGGGAAAAAAACTTAGTTCAGTTTATCAACCGACCCCCCGCTCCCATTCCCACTAAAGGAGAGAAAAAAACATGTGTATTTCTAAGGGCCTCATTGTGGTAATTCTCGTCCAGAAGCAATAGTGCTTTTTCCCCTCATTTCCCCCCGTTTTTTAAAAGCAAAAATATAAATTATAACTTCCTTCAAAATTAGCTCTAGAAATATATGTATGCAAGTAGCATCTATTTATTCAAATACAGTTGCTTTTCTGCATAAAGAAGGAATCTATATGTAAAACTTAGATTATTCAGTCAGATGGCTTATAAATTACTTACTTTGTGACTAATTACTGCCTAAAATCCACAGGCTTTGGTGGTGGTACTTGTTGCTAACTTAGTCCAGAATTTGACCTGAAAATATTACAACAGTCTCACACTTTTTTTTTTGTTGGTTTACAGTTCAGAATAAAATTTCAACCTTCTGTTAATCATGCCACATAGCAAAAATAATTAGGTAAAGTGTAGCTAGAGTGCTGCAGGCCTCCTGCAAGTAAAGCTGCCTGGCCAGAAAATGCCATCAAACTTCCTCTACCATGCAGGTCTGCCAAAAGTCTTTGCAGAAAGCAGTTCGTTAATCCTGATCATTTCCTCTAATGAGTGATAAAGATACTCCACCTAAAACAGAGAGATTTGTCCCAGTCGGCTCCAGAATCAGCAGAAAAAATAAAAAAACCAAACGAACAACTTCTGGAGGGAGGTGTTATCACCGGGCACTATAAGGAGTAAAATAATCAGCTCCCTAATTTGTCTCTCACTCGTTGAGAGGATAAAACCCACCTCGAATGGCTCAGAGAGGCTGTGAGAAGGCAAACAGAAACTTTAGCTGTGACTTGAATGTGAACTTCCTGCGATGTGGGGCACGTGCAGCTTTTCACCTTTTCTTCATGTTCTGGATCGAATCCTTCCTGTTTTGATCTAATATAGATATCATTATTTAAAATATGACTGTAATAGACATGAACGCCGTGTAACTAATCTTGACAACATACCTATAGCTTCAATTCGTGCCAGGAATTAATTGGCTTTAATCCAATTGCTAAAACTTGCTTTTCAGCCTTTATTGTAGTTACTCTCTAGTAATGTGTGGGTGGATTTGTTTGTAATTTAGCATAGGTTGTCCCTGGCATTGCACCATACCTCGTACTTAGTACAGAACTGTCTGTAACATCAAACTGAGGGGGAAAAAAAAGCCCATGCAGGTGTGAGGGCAATTAATTTATCATCCCTCCGGTCGGAGGTGGGGAGCTCGCATTGTTAAGCTCACGTCAGCGGGCAATAAAAACCTTTTGGCAAGCCCTGCCAACATAAACTAGAGCAGGAACAGGGTAAAATGTAAAAGCCAGCTTCTCTGACACTGGCTTTGAATGGTAAAGCGGTGTTTCCGTGTGGCCTCAGCCCGCCCGGAGCGCCGCCAGGCACCCAGCCCAGGCGCCCCGGAGCCCGCGCTCCCCAGCAGCGTCCGCAATGGGCTCTGAGCGATTCCCGGGGTTTCCCTCGGGATCACGGAGCCTCCTGAAGGCTCAGTCGAGCTTCCCCTGCGCCCCTCTCCGCACGCAGCTCCCCCCGGGGCCAGCGGCGGCAGCGAGCTCGCAGAGTCCGCGAAACCTCCCTGCAGCCCTCGCGGATGGAGGAGAGAAACAAATAAAGAACGCTGCTTCCTAAACCCGGCAAAACATCTTGAGTCAAAGGTGTCATAATGTAGCGCTATTAGCTGTCAGGAAAGCTGCTTGATGCAGCTCTGACCTCAGCTACGACACTCACAGGACACTCTTACAAAAAGCAGAGCAAAACATGTTGGACTAATTAGCAAGCTGGCGTCCAAATGTGTGTTTTATGTTGGTGCTAAGGGGGTACACGAACATCAGGTTGCAGGAGGCAGACTTAGAAAGCATCAGTTACAGTTAGATTTGCATTACTTAAAGCAGATTTATTTGCGGTATATAATAGAATTGCATCTTACAGTGCTGGAGTGCTAAGCCTGAGCGAGGGCCGCTGTGCAGATCACGGTGTGTCGGCTCAGAAAAACCTGTGAAAAATGCATTTCCTCCTTCTGAGCCGAGTCGGAACCCGGGGGAGAAGTCGCCGCTGCCCCGAGCGCCGGGCGGTGCGTGCCGTGCGGGCTCCGAGCCACGGCGGATCGGAGGGGACGCGAACCGCGCCGGGATGGAGCCGCTGCCGTCACCGAAACCGCCGGGGATGGAGGGAGAGAGGGAGAGGGGCAGGGACGGCAGGAAGGAGGGAGGGAGGGATGGATGCCTTTCTCCCGCACAGAGAGGCAGGGCCGCTCTCCGCCCGGCAGCTGCACCGGCCCGCGTTTCCC